TCTCATAATTCACCTAGCTCTCCACTACAGCTAATGTGTAAGCATTTCTCAAGGAGCTCTAAAAGAAGGAAATGGTGCTAAACTCCTTTTAAAATTATCCAGTCTAAACCACTGCTGCATGCAATAAATCAAATTGCCCTGAAAATCCTAGATGGGGGGAAATGGACCATGGCCCCACACCTATCAGTATTACGACGCAGAATGCAGCTGTTATAGTAGGAATAACTTATTTCTGGCACATTTTTGCTTCCTTCCATACTTTCTTCTACCACATTGAATTCCCAGTCTAGCACAGATGTCATTTTATCATCTATGTCCCACTAATGTCTCTCACCGTTTCCATTTCTCACAGTCCCCTTCACATTTCTCACAAACCTGTAATTTCTGTAAATCCCACCATCTCCTTCCTTCCCACAGAGGTTGCCCCATAACCTTTCCCTAGATTTTTATACATCTAAACAAATTAATACTTTGCACTAGCCTCTTTGGCTTATATATGTATCTTACTGTCTCCATCCAACGTAGGTCGCCTTCTTAATTTGCCTATTGTCTTCAGATCTCTTTTTGAACACTTATCTGCTAGCTCTCCAGCTTTCATCACTTTCTTACTTCTTACTTCACTCAGACCAACATCAAATGGTTTTGTCTCTCATGTATCCCTCCTTAATTTCTTTGCTTCCCACATACCCTGCGTTTCTATACATTGTTCAAAGGACATTAAGGAAACAGTAGTAGAAATGAGAGGCTGGCTGTGAAAAAATGCAGAAGGGCTTAATGAGACTGAGAGACTGAGCATTAAGACAGCAGATGAAATTCAAGGCTAAAAAATGTCGAGCATTACACATAAGAAAACTTAACATATAAAATGATGACCATTGCCATCCAGCCACAAAATTTTGTGGATATAATAAGTAGTTCCATGGAAATTTCACCTTGGTGCTCAGCAACAGCCAAAAAAGCATGCATACTGCCAGGAGTTAATAGGGAAGGAAGAGAGAACAGAAAAAAGAAGGTCGCTATGCCACAGGATAAATCCCTGCCACACCTGCACCCTGAACACTGTGTGAGGATTTGGTCCCTCGTCTCAAATGTGACAAAGTAGAACTGGAAAGGGTTTGGAGAACGGCCAGGATAATCAGAGACATGGAGCAGCTCCCGTACAAGGAATGAGTAACTCGGGGTGAAAAATAGAGAGCTAAGGATGGGGCATAACAATACAGGTGGGTAAAATCTTGTGTGGCGTGCAGATACTAACTAGACATTATTTTGGCATCAAAGGAGGTTAGTGGGCAGCAGGTTCAGAAGAGACAAAAAGCATAGCATTCAGTGTAGGGTAAGTTGTGGGACTTTTTGCCACAAGAGATCACGGAGGCTAGTGGGTACAAGGCTGTAATGGCTAGAACTCAAAAATGACTAGGCACCTCCATAGAAGGAAAATCTACCTGGGCTATTAAATACAAAAATATCACATCTGGCTCAGGAATTCCTTGAGCTGCAAATGATTAGAAGCTGGAAGATCATGCTGGGGAAATATCACTTATATCACCACTCTTATATTCTTCCCTAGGTATTCACTGTTGTTCTCTGTCAGAGACAGGATATGGAGCCAGATGGACCTTTGGTCTGACCCCATAGAGCCTTTCTGATGTTCCTGTGTTTATATTCTTAACTGACTGTACGGATGCTCCTTGCACTTTCACCTTCCACTATACAATGCCAGAAGAACCCTCCTGCCTACTGCAGCAAACTGAGGCTGAGCAAAAATATCAGTCCTAGCGCATCTTTGCTGAAAAATCCTCCCTAGATAAATTTGGGTACTTGCCTACTCTTTTAATCTAGTGTCAGAACAGTGTCATTGCTGAAAAACCATTCGCTCTGCAGCTCTGGTCACCTGAAACAATCTGTGCAGACCTCTCCCCTTTCACCGATTCCCTATCTCCTTCTAAATTCTCATCTTAAAACCTGACTTTCTAGCCTGCCTTCAACCTCTCCATTTCTGTCTCTCCTGGTTATTGGTCTTATGACTGAATGCTTTAATATTTTCACCATGCAAGGTCTTTATGTCACTGTTTCATGTAATTTATACCTGTGAGCTGGAGCCTTTCCCATCTCGCTTTCAAGCACAGGCCGTACACTGAATGGAGTCCAAAATGCTCCCCACCCCCTTATTGCTTTGGGGGTTTGGCTTTATTAACAAGGATATAAGCAATAAGAAAATAAAGTTCAGCTGTTTCTAAGGCTTGTCCCTCATGATTGCTCAGCCAGCATCTTAGATGGCCTGTCCCCAGCAAACCATTTTTATCTCCCTTTTACACAAGTGAACTAATAAGCCACCTACCTCAGTGAGTCAGCAGAACCCACTTAACCCTTTCCCAGAAGGGTCACAACTCGCTATCAGGATGGCTTGGCTCACGTTTGTTACAGAACCGTATTCTGCCCCTCAGTCTTGAATAATTTATTTGTGCGGCAGACCTAGATTACTGTTTAAATCAAAATGCTACCCAAACAAAGGCTGTGCTGTACAGTGCAAAATGAAACCAATTACTACATCATATAATGCTCATCTTTTACAGTGTAAGATGCCCCCTACAGTACTGCAGAGGACAGACATTTCTGTTGAGAACAGCAGCCAGCCATAGGAAGCGGGAGAGAGACTTTTCAGAGGGAACCAGCCTAAGTAAATTCAGTGCCAGAAGGTATTGCACACTTCCACTTTGATCCGTCGAAACTTAAGACCTTTTCTAGACCGAAATTAAAGCAAGCTCCATGTGCAGAGTTGTTTTCCACAGAGCAACTTTACCAGGGATGAAGAAAGGAGGAAAATGCCTATCCTAACACGCATCGCAGAAATTCAATATGAAATCTCAAAATGTGGATCAAAGCCTGGAATTCCACTACTTGAAAAAAATACAACTCACAGAAATATGCAGAAATAAGGGATGCATTGTATTATATATCATATTGTAGTAGAAGTGCATTATAAGCCTTATGGCATCTCTGGATACCTGAAACATTAACAAGACCATGTTCCTTATATACTTCAAAAATCTAATCTGAGTTTACTCAAAAAAAAAAAAAACCCACAAAAACCCCATACAAGTAAAATATGTTCTTTCTCTTATTTTTCTACCCCTGTTATTGTTCAATCACCTGATTTTGAGACTCCATTCACCTGACAATAAGTAGCTATCATTTATCCTAGTCCTGGCTGTCAGAAAGAATCATCTTTATCTTCAGAGAAGCAGGGATAATGTCTAATCAGTGAGTTATAGTTGAGAGAAATGATTCTAAGTTTAGGAAAATTGGCAGCTGCATTTTCTTATCAGTAACCATTATTTAGATAGCATTGCTGATGTGCATGGCATCATACAGACAAGGACAAAGACCCGACCCTCGCCCTGCGGAGCTTACTGTCTGTATTACACAATTAAAAGAGGGAGAGGTATCAGCATAATAGTAATAGTGAGCTCTAAGCATCGCAGTGGGAGGGAGAAGAGATGACAAGAAAAAGACAGACAAAACTTCCTGTGAGAGAGAAATACTGCATCATCCCTCCGTTGTTGTTTTATACTCAGCTCTGCCAGAGGGTTTTGTTGTTTCAAAATACAGTCTGTACAGAAGAGGGAACAGATAATTCCAGAGTAGAATTCAGGAGAAACTGGCCTAGGTGTTTATAAGAGAGAGGTGGAGGATGTTGACTGGTGACAAAGAGCTGGGTGCTTTGATGCATCAAAGACACAGTGTCATACGAGCCACACAAGTGATGCTGTGTCAGGGCTGGCAGGTTGTGTCACACAAGCTCACGAGGCTCTGCGGGGCATGGAAAGACCTGAGGCTCTTAACTCAGTGTATTCAGTTAACATGGAGACTGTGCTTCCACTCACTCTGGAAAGTGGGCACTGTAGCTCATGATACAAACAACACGTTAACAGTAACACGCCAACTAAACCTACCATCTCCCAAAAACGAGCTTCCAAATACCACATTCAACAGACATACAGTTTGTCCTTAGGTGCATGATGCACCAACGCTTTAGTTATACATCATTTTATTATGAGGTCAGTTTGTGTATCACTCTTTTCTTTTAAGGCAATTGTGTTGAAAATTAATACACAACAATCTGACTACAGACATAAAAGCACAGACTTAGCTGAGCTGCATACATAAAACTGAAGTCAGTACTTCAGAAACCCACCCTAACCTAACACTAACTCCAACTCCATCTCTTTAACTACATCAGAACATAATTTTTAGATGGCTGTTAATATTACTGCATTTTTCCTTTGTTGACCCAAAGTTATTAGCAGGAACCATCCATACTGGAGCAAAGATGACTCCAGCTAATAGAAAACAATGGTACCACAGGAATACATTCATTACTGCATTGACCTTCTAAAAAGAAGGAGGCATCTTCTTTCTTCTAGTATTTCACTTAGCTTCTGCTACTTAGTGAAGTAAAGCAGTACATGTATTCCCCTGAACTGTCTTATTTCTGTAGACATTCATAAGACTGGTGCAGAAAATGGAGCCTACCTGGCAATATCTTCTCAGTGGTATAAAGTAAAACTGATTAAGAGAGGAACATTCTTCAAGTTCCTAGAAAAGGCTGTTGGCTTCTTCCATTTATGATCAAAAAGATCCTATAAAAAAAATGTCCAGTCTTTAATGAGACTAGGAAATTGAAATAACCAAAATGGGATGTGATTGGTCTTTTGAATTGAGGTGCCACCATTACATGCTTTTGCTGCTGAAACGTCGTCTGGCTCCTAATGGCTTCTAACATTGTGTTTCTACCTACATTGATCATTTAATACTAGCATCTTCTTTCTGACAAACCACAAACACTTCCAAAACTTGACCTCTTCCCTTTATCGCTTTTGATTAAGAAGAGAACTATCTGCAGGAAATGCCCTACAAACCACAAAGGATTATCAGAAATATAATGATGAGTGATTCAGGGACTCTGTGGCTCTGCTTGTATTCCTATAATCTGATCTTGGTCACTCTTCCCTTCGCCGCCGGAGCTTTGCTGTAGTTTCTTCTAGTCGGCTTCTCCAAGCAGCAATAATGGCATCATCATCCATCTCTTCTTCCTCTTCTTTACGCACGCTTCGCCTGTACTGAGAGAACTGTCTAGATGCAAATCTTTCTTCACTTTGTTCCACTTTTGCCTCCTTCTTTCCATCCTCTTCAGACTTTGAAAAGCTCTGGGTGAACTTTCTCTTAGCTCCAAATTCTGATGTGTCTGACCTGGCCTCCTCTTCACATGCCTCCACATGATGAGATCTAGCTCGACTCTGTGTAAATGGTTCAGGGGATTCAGAGTCAAAGGATGGTTCAGGTGTTCGGCTGAAAACATGCAGCTCTGGGGTCTTTTCTCTGGAACTTGTTGCCTCACTGACCCTTGACCTTGTGAATGTATACATCTGTTTGTCCTCTTTTGCAGAAGCAGAGGAAAATCTTGACATGGTTCTCAGTGAATCACCTTTTGACTCGTAAGAAGAACAGCTGTCTAGCTCTTCTCTTTGGGATCTGGAGAATCTGTAACTGGATGATTCAGAATCCATCTCTCTAATTTTGGATGATCTGCTATATTTCTCTCTGGCCTTCTCACTTTGGTCATAGTATGACGGTGGTTCTCTTTCTGCTTTCAGGCCACTGAGCCACTTGGTAATATCAGTCTCTATCTCTGACTTCAGTGCATCTGTGTTTGCAGGTTGACTGGACAGATCAAAGACTGTATCAGTTCTGTCAAGATCTGCTTGCAAGGGGCGCCTGAGGCTGTTTGTTGTACTCTCTTTGTCATCTTCTGTTTCATTTTCCTCTCCTTTGGTCTTCTTTTTTTTAAATAAAGTGCTGCGTTTATTGTCTCTGATCACCTTTTCAATTTGATAATCTGACATTTTCTCTCTCATTTCCATTTGCATCTCCTTCTCCTTCCTCCTGAGTTTCTTTAGGTCAACTTCATCAGCAAAGAGGCTGTACAGTGGCTTGCTTGTCTGTGTTGTCATCATGTTTGAACTATTCCCTTCAGTCCTTGCGCTCTCTGAGGCATTGCAAGACAGGACAGACTGAGACTCAGCCCTGTGCATGTCCTGCTGGCGAAGCTGAGAGGTAGCAAGAGATGAGGCACTCCGAGCACTGAGAAGAGAAACCTTATCATCATCTATACGCCTGCCAAGGTCTCCTGACATTACGCTGGAGGCCATTGCAGACGATGGACGGGACAGCATCATGATCTCATTTTGCTTTTGAGCAATGGTTTCACTGACCACGTTAGCGATCCAGTTCTGAATGCTTGCCATGGATATTGTGTCACCTGGGCCAACCGAGAGATTGGGAAGGGGTATGCTTGGCATTTGAGGCTGCATTGCCCCTGTGCTGCTCCTGGTCTGTGATAAAGATGAATTATTTGTCTGCATGCTCAGTGCAGAAGCTGCATCCTCGGCACCACTTGCAGAAGGTGCTGAGGGCCAGAAAGCTGACAGTGGGATGCTCCCACTCATCATACTGTCTGTCTCCCAGCTGCACATGGACTGGCTTTCTTCTAAAATTTTCTTTGAACGTTCAAGGAGCTCTACACGTCTCTGCTTCTTTTTAGCTGAAGCAGAATCCTCACTTTTGGCAAACTCCACAAATTCCTCCTTGCTTTCACTGCCCACCTTCTTCTGCCGCTTCATTTTCCAAGCCTGGTAAGCAGTCAGGTTAATATCTGACAAACTCTTCCCTTCTGTCTCCTCCCCACCTGCCTGGCTGCCATCTGCTGCTGGAGATGGTGCAGATGATGATGGTTCTACATCCTTCTTGTGAAAACCAAACTGGATCCTCTTGACCTTCCACCTTTCTAGAGGAGTCAACTTGTCTTTGTTCTTTTGGCAGAAATTGTAAAAGGAGCTACTGTCTGAAAACACGCTCTCCTCATCCACATCCCTCTCCTTTCTTCCTGTTTCTGGGGATTGTCTCTCCCCACAATTTTTATTCTTAGAACAATACCTGTGAGCAGCTTCCTTCTCAATCTCCAGAAGCCTCTGGTTCCACATGTCCCAAGTGCTTTCTGAAGACATAGAGCCTGTGCGGCTCCTCCTCATTCTGCTGAAGCTACTGGCTTCCAGCTGTTGTTTTAGGGTTCGGATCTCAAAACTGCTCACACTCTCAACATCGCTGAATTCACCTGAGGGGTAAGGTCTTCCTCCCATGCTGGAATCTCCATCCTCCTCCCTGGGTGGACCCTCAGTTTGGTATTTCTCATTTCTGTGCTGCCAGTCATGGATCCTCTGTTCCACATCCTCCTCAGATTGTTCCCCTTCCTGATCCAGAAGCTTTGGAGATGTTCTTGTTCCATGGTTAACTCCTGGTTCCTTTGCAGGCAGGCCTTGTTTTTTCCTCCATTCCTCGTACAACTGTTCCTCTTCCTCCTCACTGATGAGGGTGGAGTGTTTAGAAACCCAGCTGGTTTTTCCTACTGATGAAGAGCTCATAAGACTACCCAGCAGGCTGCTGGTGTCCTCTTCTTCTACTGTGATGGAGTGGGCTTTGGCTCCCATGATGCTTTCTGAGTCCCCAACTCTAGACAGCCGGGAAGAAGTCCCTGCATGGACATCTGGACTTTGACTAGGAGTGTCTTCTTCATCTCCACTGTGCTCTGACTCTCGTTCCTCCAACAATTGCTCGTTGAGGTCCCTTAGCTGTTTCAGAAAGCCATCATTGGGGTAAATGGCACGCTTCTTTCTCAGAGTCATCAGAGCCTCCAGAATGGTCATGTGGTGGTAGATCATCAGGTAAGCAGCCACCAGTACAGCTGAGCGACTGATTCCCATTTCACTGCTGACAAGGATTTTGCCTACAGATATTGAATATAAGAGTAATTAGTAATTCCAATAACAAAGAGGTTGCTCTGATATGTAGCACAAAAGCATTCTCTTAATAGTGTTAAAAATTAGACAGATTATGTTTCAGTGACTGAAATCAATACTAAATATTTGTTAGCTTTATGTTAATAAAAATCTAGACACATATGAATAAAAAGCACATTAGTTTCAAAAGCTGTGGCAGGCACATTTTAAAACAATCTAAATAATATTTGTATTTTCACCTGTACACTTCACTTCCCCAAATAACCAAAAAGCTTATAATAGGTATTAGAAAGACAAGCGATACAGTATTCTTGACTTGCTGGCTGACTTAGGGCAAGACATTTAAGCTTTCCATGCTTCAGTTTCACCGTATGTAAAAAGGGAGATACTAGCATTAGCCTCCAGGAAGGTATTGGAAGGATAAGCAAATAACTTAATTTTTTAATAAGGCACATTATAGGACTTAAATACAATTTTATATTAATTTAATTATATTTTTGCCAGAATCCAGATCTGCTGTTTTGCAAGGTACACTCAAATGGTTACATGTAGACTGGCTGGAGGCCAGAGTCATAGTATGTCTCAGAACAGGACAACCAAGCAACCAGCAGAAGATTTTGACTCTGACAAACTGATACAGCTGCTCCAAACTACTGGGACCCACTGTTCTGTAAACAGTGACTGCAAGAGCTAGAATTAAAGCTGAGGATCTGCTTTATTTCATGGTATTTACACAGAAACCACCTCTTGCAGAAAACTAAGCTTTGGCACAGAATTGTTTTTTGAAGTTACTTTTATAGCGAATTGCAGAAGAAGCTGTAAAGAAAAGCTTCTAAATATGAAGAGAGTGTAAATGAGGCTTGGCTAGCTTGCAAATATCTGAAATTACTGTTTCTAAATGTGTGATAAACTCCAGTTTAATCAAACTGTTTGCACTGAAACTTAATGAAACCAGTTTAAACACCACCTTTCCGACTGCTGATCTGTTACCGTCAGTGTTTACCTAATGTATCTGTTCCTACAATCCCGAAATGTCTTTTACACCTTTCTTAGTATTGAAAGTCTCAGTTGCCCTCCAAGTGTTTTAACAGCCAGTAAAGCCTGTCTAACAGCTCACCTCTGCTTTCTTTCAAGGCTCCTCTGTCTCTGATCCTTTCCTGTGTTGGCTCTGGTACTCACCAGGCCCTTTATGAGCCAGTTCAGCTCACCAACCCAATGGGAAACCTTCTCTTCCCTGCTGCGCTCTTGTTTTTGCAAGGTTCGTGAGTTGAAGGGTCGATGAATGCCAGCAGCAGTAAGCATTTCTACTGTGCCAAGGGTACCAATGAGGAAGAACATAGACGGGTAGAGTGTCCCTCCTCGTGTTGTTGGTGGTGAGCTATTAAAATTGCTCAACTCTTCCTGTGTACTAACAAAACTTCTCACTTTTCTTGCTGTCACTTCTACTAGGAGGTAGCCTGTTGTGTCTCTACAAAAATTAAATGCATTGGACACATATATGAAGAATAACAGTGATATCACTGGTTGTGGTGTTCATTTCCATATTGAATCCATAAAGATATTTCTAGCTGTCCACAGAAGCTGCAACAAAATGACCAGTATGCACTGGAGGTCCACAGAGTAACAATTGCCATGGAACTGGAGACCAGCAAATTATACAGCAGCCTGGGTGTAGACATCCATGGGTTCAACCCAACTGTTTGGATTGTTATAGTAAATCAGCCTGTTCTTCTGTAGTAAGCATCCTGGCAAAACTGAAACTCACAGTGTACAGGAGTATATCTATATATATAGTATTATATAATATCAATATAAAACAAATCTATTGATTGGAGCCAGGCTTCACCTCTTCACAATAGTAGGGTACTTTCAAAGCAGCTGAAGGAGGGGGCTCGCAGCCAGTTTGAGTCCGAAGACATGGGGCTTGCAGCAGGGGCTGCTGGGCTGCCTCCTCTCACTAGTTTGCCCCCTCCTGTTTTGAATGAGGCGTGGCAGAAATGGGCAAGAAGTGTTCACCATAACTGGGTGCAAAGAAAAAAGTATCTGCCTTCTACCCAATTACAAATGTGGCTTTGGCTGTTTATGAGAGTAACACTTCCACCCATTAATTCCCAAGCATTCTGAAACCACTGTAATCTGCTCCTCTTACCCCTGTAAGTCAGCAGTGCTTCGTCAAGGAACTCTGCAGCTGGGCGGAAGTGTTTGGAGATATCCATATCTGGAAAATCATCCACTTCAATGCCCAGGTATTGGATATTCAGACCATTGTAGAAACCTGGTCCTGTGTATACACCTGTACCATGAGCTGCATTCAAGACATGCGTGATCCCCAGTCTCTTCAAACGGCTTTTGTTCACCGCAACACTTCTTCAGAAAAGGAAGAAAGATGTTAGATATCTGTGCTCCTATTTCAGGTAGGAAAGAAGCTGTCTGCTACAAGCGCTACAGAGCTCCCAGTCTGTGTTACTCATCCAGCGCGTGGCTCCACTCAGACCTTAATGTCCTTTGAGAGTTCTACAGGTATTTCTTTCCAATACTCACCAGGAAAAGAAAATGAGAAACCTGCACTCACCAGTAGAGCTGCATGCTCAAATTCTACTCCAGCTTGATTTTAAACTAATCCTGCTATCCTAGGTTCAGGCTGTTTATTTATTTCTCAATTTTTATCACTCCGTAATTGATGCTTTGCACTATATCCCCTTCTAATTCTGTTCTGGTCATTTGCACAGGTGTCTCAGACAGCTGAGCCATGGTACAGAACTAACCATTTCCACTCAGTATTTGCTATGGCATTTCTTTTTTAACTCTCTTTTACATAACAAAGACCTTAGTCCCAATTTCAGGGCCAAATTCCAATCAGAACAGCGTAATTTGGGCTCATTTGCCTTTTCCTCTCCTAAACTGTCAAAGCATCAAAATAGCATAGGAAAGCTGCTGATTCTATTCCAGAAGTATTTACTTTTCAGTACACAGAGATCTTTGTGAGCATATTCTGAAAAACACTTTGGGGCTCTCTAGGGATGAAAGGTATTAGATGCATGTAGTACATGTTATGCCTTCAATGGTTCCATCTGACCCTTCACTGGGAATCTCGTGCAACTTGATGACAAAAGCTGACACTCACTTTTCTGCTATGAAGACATTAGGCCAGACTTCATCCACAGCATCCCTAGGGGTCTCCAGCCTGTCCTTCACAAGTGCCCTCTGCAAGTCCATCACACACGGCGTGTTAAACAAGCTGGTGTCATCAATCTTTTCCTTGACTCGGTTGTACAGGTCTTCCACCATCAACTGCCGTGCAGACTCTAACATCCTGGGACACGCTGAATCTACCTTGGTGTCCTTTGTCTTCAGTTCTGGAATAAACTGACATTGTAACTAAAAACATGTAAAACCAAAGCAAATATATGACCTGTCATTCTTTGTTCCTGGGACAAGCCTTGTGGTTTGCTTTTTTTCCCAGTAACATCACACCGTCCTGTCTGCAATGTGTGCATGTACATGCTTATCTAGCAGCCTCAAGGTAGTTAGTAGTGGGAAGAGCATATTGCACTGTCCTCTCAGTCCGGAGACCCACACTGGCCAAAGGCCTGGGAGTTAAGGGCACACTCATTCTAGCCCCAGAAGAATGCAGGTGTTCTCTACAGCTCCCTGAGGAGGTCAAGTGGAAAGGGAGATGCTGAGGTCTTCTCCCTGGGATCCAGTGACAGGACATGTGGGAATCGTTCAAAGCTGTGCCCGGGGAGGTTTAGACTGGACATTAGGAAGCATTTCTTTACCGAGGGGGTGGTCAAACACTGGAACAGGCTTCTTAGAGAGCTTGTTGATGCCCCAAGCCTAGCAGTGTTTAAGAGGCATTTGGACAATGCCTTTAATAATTTGCTTTAATTTTTGGTCAGCCCTGAATTGGTCAGACAGTTGGACTAGACGATCGTTGTAGGACCCTTCCAACTGAAATATTCTGTTCTGTTCTATTCTATTCTATTCTATTCTATTCTATTCTATTCTATTCTATTCTATTCTATTCTATTCTGTTTGTTGCAGCAAGCGACCAGCAATCAAACTGTATTCACCACTGTGGTACATGATTCTGCCACAGATTCAGTGCACAGCTTCAAAGGAAGTCACCAAACCTTTCTGTACATTGTTATTTATTTGTGGTTTTTGCCTCCGCCTCAGGTGGGGGTTTCTCATAAAGGCCTTTTTATCATTTTAAGATCTCTGGATGAGAAAGGCAGAACAAGTGCAACTCAAGTCTCTATTACTTACATAGTTCTTTTACCCTTCCTTCTCTTACCTTCATTGATTATTTGTTTGGCAGCCACAGCAGATGACAGATGAATTGGCTCCATCAAGATGCTCTCTGTATCAGTGTCCGATATCACTGAATACCTGCCAACCAACCACACTGCCTATTAGGCAAATGCCCTCCACTGGGATCCCATCTTCAGGACTTTAGCCCTTTTCACCCATTCCAGAAGACAGCAGCAGGGAACTGGAGCAATGAGGATCCTTTGAGGGTAGAAGGGAAGCCCCAGCTCTTCTCCCACCCTTCACCCCCACCCTGCTCTCCAGTGTGGCACTACAGGCTTCAAATATGCCTTGGTACCCCGTGTTCGCAGGATGCAGACAGGTCCCATGGGGAGGAGCTGCAGTGGGCTGGGAGTGCAAGAGAATGAACTGGTGGAGCAGTTTTTGGGTAGAGAAGATCAGTGTCTGGTTTGAGACTGGGAGGGGATCACAGGGAATAGTCTCACAAGTAGCTCTCACTTAGACAGACAGACAGACCTAAACATTGTCCTAACTAGAATTTATTGAACAATTCAAAACAGATTATGCTAGAAAACCATTTGTTTGTTTGTTTGTTTCTGTTAGTTAATTGCCTACAAGCATCCTTTGAGTTATCACAAGCTGCAATGCAAGCATTAAGGTTGAAGCCTGTGAATCTCTCCCTCAGTACTCAGTACATTGGTCACTTCATAGTGTGAATCTGTGCTCAGTCTCTCCACTCACATAGTGTTGTCTAACTGTAGGTCACAAACAACTATGAAACCCACAAACACCTTTGAAAAGAGTTCATTGACACACAGGGTGATTTACATAAGGTTTTGTTAAGCAAAAAAGGGCCACAATCTTGAAAACAAATGTATTTCCATCTGGGTCCACCTGTACAGTCCAAGTAAATCTTTTCTTCCTATTTAGACCATCTTACAAAATACTTCACAGAGCTTTTTCCCTGATGCATCCCTGCTACATTTCCTTCCAAAGGGATGGTTCAGATCATTAGATCAAGTTTGCTGCCATCACAGAAGCTATCTGGCAATGCAGGCTTGCAGTACTTGCAACACACTGTTTTTGTTTAATTAAAGCAGGAGAGGGAGGGTGATTAATGTGCAGTCAGGGTGCAGCAAAGTGTCTGGAGAGCTAAACTGCTTTCATTCTTCAGAATCAAAATGGAGGGCACAGTCATCGCTTAATGGGCTTGTCTAGGTCATTTAGTTGGGTTCCAGCACTTGTCAACCATGACTGAAAGTATTCCTTTTCTAGCTCTTCAAAGGAGTTTATGAGATGAGCAAGGGGAGTCTCAGTCTCATTTACAGGAGCTGACACAAATTTGCAGCTATGCCCTGCCTTCAATTCCTTTTGCTGTAAAGGTTGCCTCCAACCTCAATAAAAAGATAACAGTTGGTAATAATGTGTCACCACAGCCTCAACACATTTTACCTGTAGCTGCCCCAAGCATCCATGAAACACACGGGTGCAGAACTGCCCAAGCCTGGGTGCTTCAAGGGCCTCATTCTGGTTGGGAAGGACCTTGCCATTTTCATCATTACTCTCGGCATTGACAGCAAGAAAAAAAATAGGGGGGGGGAGGAAGGAAAGGGAAAGGGAAAGGGAAAGGGAAAGGGAAAGGAGAAGAGGGAAAGGGAAAGGGAAAGGGAAAGGGAAAGGGAAAGGGAAAGGGAAAGGGAAAGGGAAAGGGAAAGGGAAAGGGAAAGGGAAAGGGAAAGGGAAAGGGAAAGGGAAAGGGAAAGGGAAAGGGGAAGGGGAAGGGGAAGGGAAAGGGAAAGGGAAAGGGAAAGGGAAAGGGAAAGGGAAAGGGAAAGGGAAAGGGAAAGGGAAAGGGAAAGGGAAAGGGAAAGGAAGGGAAGGGACTAAACTAGAGAGGTGTTTCTGTTCAAGTGACTGATGAACAGTCGGAGAGTGATTTACCAAGTTCAGTACATAATTTTACTTTATGTGAGCTCAGTGAACTTCCTAAACAATTTTTAAACGCATATAGTTAAATGAAATAAGCACTCTATCTTCATTTTTCTGCAGTGCCCCACAGTTAATGGGAAACATTTCATAACCTCCTACTTGTTGAGGACCACTGGGACAGCTTCTTTTCAAACTCGATCCCTACTCCCTGCCTTCAGCTAAAGCATCTCAAAGTGTACAGAAAGCCCTGCAGAGCATTTTGCTTTAGAAAAAGAGTACAAAGAGATGTATTTTTCCTTGTATTAGGAGAAAACACATCTAATCATGCTTGTTTTGCTTGAGGTAACTCAATTTCTGCTTGCACTGTGACAGCCTCCTGTTCAGTGCCTGAAGCCCGTAGCTAAAGATGGCTCTGAACCAAACCCAAATCCGAAGACCCTCAGTTTTTCTGGGGCTGGGAAAGGCTAATATCAACATTAAAAAAATCCACAGGTCCTTATAATGGACAGACAGACAGGGCTGAATCTGGGAAGAGTTGAAATCTGGATCAGAAGTTTCAGCGTGGGGGTGGACGTGATGAGATAAGGAAGAGCAACGATACCACCCCATAGTACCGCTTTCTGCAATTTACCCCCGCCGTGTGCGCGTACAGTCTCAGCGGGACGGATTAATTAGCGCATCAGTCCTGCCTCTCCAGTCTCTCTCCCCGCTGGCACACTAACCCCCGCCTGCAGGAGGGGAGGGAAGCCCTGGGCTCTGCCCTTGATCCGAGTGCCTGTGTGGAGAGGAGGCGGTGGGAGAAGAGGGAAGGCAAGCTGATCTACCACGTGCTACCGGGAGGCCGTGGCGGCGCCTGCAGCAAGTGTACTCACCGGCTGGGCGAGGGGCTGCGGAGATACTGGGCCTGCACGGCCTTCACGTCTGCTCCCCCGTCCTCCACATCGGGCACCGCCTGCTCACTGTCCGAATCTTTACCACTGGCCATAGCAGCTGTGAGAGGAGCAGCTACAAGGGGAGCAGAGCAGGAGGGAGGGCCGTTACGGAGGGTCTGCGCAGGAGGCCATGCCCCAGCCGTGGGGTGGCTGTGGCAGGGGGGGTACTGCAGAAGGGGCTCCCA